CAGTCTTGGTACAGCTCCTCCTTCCTGGTCCAGCCACCAGACAGCGAGAGGATGTTGAGAATAAATTTTCATGCTGAGGATGGCAGAAGAGAATGATGGAAGGAGCCCAGGCCCCAAGGCCTGTAAAGAGGTCTGGGACTGTTTACCTCTGCTTTCCTTAGGATCAGAGAACGATCCCTTACACGCATGAGTCCCTGTTATTTGGGGACTTTCTTATATGCATTTGAATTGTCTGTGGCTGAATCTGATCCTGATATAATAGGCAATATTTACGACCTAGAGAGCTGTACTGATGGCCCACTCCCCGTCCTCTGAGGTCTGAGACTGAGACAAGGTGTTGATTAAACTCACTTGGACCATACTCTGACCTCTGCTAAACGTACCTGATTTATCCATCACGATGTCTCACTATTCTAAATAAAGAGATGGGGATTAACTTGCCTTGGTGGCTTTATTACAGAGCCTGCTCTGGTGATCACCTGCCTGGTATGTAAAACCATGAAATGTAACATGCTGCTCTTGTTGCTCAACTCACTGTGTGAGTGCCAAGGTGTTCAATCGTATTTTATATGTTGTTTCAGAAGGTCAGAAACATGGCTAAGGTAGGAAATAGTAACAGTTCATAGACACTCCTTAGTCAGATGTCACCAGACTTGTGTAAATGGAAGCAAGATATTTTTCTTTTTTCTGTCTGAAATGATGCCTGTCGTTCTGTTCACATGGTGGACACACATCGCAGACTAGTTTCCAGCATTTGGGAGCAGCAGGATCTCTTTCTTCTCTCAAATGTGGTGGAAAAAGGGGGCTACAGACAGGCTCAAAATGTGGACAACAAAAAACTAGCTTTTCAAATAGTTTAGCAGATCCAAAAGAGGACAAGTTCTCCTCCTCCAGAGACAAAACAGGGCTTAGGCCTGACTTTGGGGCAGGTGACCATTTTTCTGACAGGTGCTCACAAACATTTCTAGGAAACGCAAATGCACAATTTTGATCTTAGTAATTGGAGTTTATTTTACTTTGTATCAGAAGAAAGTATAACGAACTTGTCATGGTCATGGTCCCACGGAGCTTGCTTACGACAAGGCTGAAGTAGATAATTGAGTTTTAAACAGGAAATCAAGTTAAAGACAAATGTGCAGTGTGGCCCCACAAAGGAACGTTCAAGTCCTAACCTTGGCATCTGTGAACGTGACTTTATTTGGAAATGGGGTCTTTGCAGCTGTAATTAAGGTAGGCTGGATTAGGGTGGGATCTTAATCCAATGTGACTGGGGTCCTTATAAAAAGACGATGGGAAGACACGTGGGGAGAGGGTGTGTGATGACAGGGACAGAGGTCTGAGTGATACCACTG